CCACACATCTCTTGAGATCCTGTTCACAAACAGTAACTTATTGTCATGACCCAATGCTGTAAAGAAGAAGAGCTCTGTAGCCAACACAGCCTCAGGATCTTCCTCCCAGCCTACATCTGAATTCAGTAAGGCCTAACTTGGACTTTCTACCATCTTCCAAGAGGTAGTAGGTCTAAAACCACTGATGTGCTAACCTGGCTGTCTCTAATTTCATTAGTCATAATTATGCTGGAGTGGCTGGAGCTATTTTTATTTATTCCTTCCTTTCATTTCTTCTTTGTTTTTTAAAGAATTATTTCTTTTCTTTTACTTATCATTATTGTTATTTTTCATGTGACCATAGCAAGACACACAGAGAAAGTGAGTGAGAGAGAGAAAGTGAGAAAACAAGCCGCCAGGTCTGGGACTCAAACCGTGGACAGCCATGTGAGAATCCAGCAGCTTTAAACACCACGCCACCACCTGCCGGCCCCCTTTCTTTTCTTTTTTTAAGAGGTTTTTTGCTATAGGGTGCGTGTGCTCTCCGGAAAGACAAAGAGAGACAGACAGATGAAAAGCGAGAAATCACCCCCCAGGGGGGATGGTCGCACTCCAATCCTTTCTCCTCCATTCTCCTCTCAGGATTTTGGGCACGCACTCACATGTGCCTGGCATGAATTTTAAGCCACTGGGTCCAGGACTCGAACCACGGTAGACTACATGGGAGTCCAGCAACATTGCCCACTGGTGGTCCGGTCTCTCCTGCCTTCTTTTTTTTTTTTTTTTTTTTTTTGGAGAGATTTTCGCTATAGGGCGTGTGCGCTCACCAGACAGAGAGAGACATAGAGACAGAAAGCAAGAAATCACCCCCCAGGGGGGACCCCCCAGGGGGGATGGTCACGCCGCAATTCCTTCTTCTCCATTCTCCTCTCGGGATCTTGGGCACGCACGCACACGCGCCTGGCGTGAGTTTTAAGTCACTGGGTCTGGGACAAAAACCGCGGTCGACTACATGGGAGTTCAGCGACATAGCCATTACGCTAACTGCTGGTTCCCTCTCCTGCCTTCTTATAAAAACCTCTCCTTTGTATTTCTGCACTGCACGTCAGCTCTCACCATAGCTGTCACCTCTCAACATCCTTGTCACTCCTCCTACCTGATGGCTTTGACATCTGGCCCTTGAAATTCCTCCTCACCTCAAGTCCTGCCTAAAGAGTAAGAGGGTTCAGAGCACAGACTGGCGCATCAGGCTGCCTGCGTACAAGTCCGGAGTCTATATTCTAGCTGCGCCGCTTTGGCCTGTCCCGTACCCTGTCTTTTCCTGAGTTCTTCATTTACAAAATAGAGATGATAATGGTACTTTGTAGGATCTATTACATGGGTGAAGAGTTAATTCACCAGAGGGCTCAGAGCAGTACCTGGCACAGAGTAAGTGCTCAGTGCACAGCAGCTACCACCATCGTCATCATCGTGAGACTACCTCAAGGGCCACATGGATAACCCAACTAACATGTTCTTGGAGCCTACTGACTTCTTTGAGCTCCTTGTCTCCAATAAACTTGTCCACTCTGCTCCGGTAATCCTCTTCCACAGCTGCACCCTCGATCCTTCCATCACCAGAACCTCCCCACCTCCAAAATCTGATTCAAATACCCCATACTCTGGGGCCAGCAGGTGGCATGGTGATTAAGGTGCTGAACTCTCACATGGCCAACCACAGTTCAAGTCCTGGACCTGAAGGCTTGCTTTCTCACTTTCTCTCTATCTCTCTCTCCCTCTTTTTCTCCCTAGTCAAATTTTAAAATAATGATAATAAATAAAATGAAATAGATAATTTTTTTTAAATACTCCTTAGCACCAGCAGTTGACATAATGGCTATGTTGCTGGACTCCCATGTAGTTAACCACAGTTCAAATCCTATACCCGGCGGCTTAAAACTCATGCCAGGCACATGTGCATGTGTGCCTAAGATCCCAAGAGGAGAAGGAATTGCAGCATGGCCATACCCTTGGGGCGTGATTTCTTGCCTTCTATCTCTCTGTCTCTCTCTTTCTGGTGAGCTCACTCACCCCATAGCAAAAACCTCTCCCTCCCCCCAAAAAAATAAATATATACTATCATAAGTACTTAGCTTCCTTCTCTACTAGACTGTAAACTCCTTGAGGGCAAGGATCATGTCTTGTTCACCTTTCTATCTCTATGCTTAGAAATGCACCTGGGACCAGCAGTTAGCGTAATGGCTATGTCGCTGGACTCCCATGTAGTTGACCGCGGTTCGCATCCCGGACTCTGTAGCTTAAAACTCATGCCAGGTGCATGTGCATGAGCCCGAGAGGAGAATGGAGAAGGGATTGCGGTGTGGCCATCCCTAGGGGGCGATTTCTTGCTTTCTGTCTCTTTGTCTCTCTCTGTCTTTTTGGCGAGTGCATGCACCCTACAGCAAAAACCTCTCAAAAAAATAAAATAAAAAGCACCTGACCTTGCCATAGTACAAGCAGTTGTATTTTTCTAGTCGAATCTGGAGAGAAGATCTCTTTCAGAGGGAGTGTCATGCCAGAATCTGCCTTTAAGTCAGTGGTTCTCAACTGAAGGCAATTTTGCAATGTCAGAAGATAACTAATTTTCCAGTGTTGGGGGATACACTACTGGCATCTGGTGAGCAGAGATCAGGGAATACCACTGACCAACATGCCAGGAAGGCCAGCCCCCCAAGAAAGAGCTATTCAGCCCACACGTCAGCAGTGCTGCTGCTGAGAAAGCTGGCTCTGGGCGTTATGGTTTCTGGTTTTGGTTTTTGTTTCCGATGATAGAGAGCACACGCACACATGAGAAAGAGAGGTCCCGTGACATCACAATCCCCTCCTTCCCCACCCTCCAGCTCCTCAGGATCTTTGGGCACCCATGCATTCATGTCCAGTGTCTTTTCAGGCAAAGCTGGGGATTTGAACCCACAGTCAGCCATATGGCTTCGTATTACTGCTGCGTCACAGTGGCTTGGCCTACATGTCTTTTTTACCTCCTCTCCTGCCACCCACGCCCTGATCGGTTCTGACTGGAGAAAGCTGAAGGAAGAATAAGAGCCCATGAGACACATACAAGTGCTTATCAAGAATCTGGGCAGACTCCTGGACAAGTTGGCAGGCCCAAGTGGCAGGTTTTTAAATGCCACGCAGTGTTCCTACCTTAGTTTGTTTTTGGAATGCAAGAGACAGAAACATAATTTTAACGAGCATAAATAAAAAGAATTTATTTTAAGGATTTTCCTGGGACAAAATGCTCACTTGCAGACACACACTGCACGTAATGCATAACGCCAGTGCAGGCCACGATGGACAGCAGGTATGGCAGTGGGCCCATGGGATTACAGGAGCAGAAACATTCCTGTCACCTAGCAACGTCATACCTGAGGCGATCTAGAGCAAAGCATCAGGCATGGGTGCATGGCAGTGCCGGTGTGAACAAATGTATTGCACAACCAGTCGTAAGAAAGCACACCAGAGCTTCTGCACGGCATTTAGTGCCCGATTATGACGATATGTGGCTGTTACAGACTAAAAAGAAGAAATGTACCTGACATTGATAGTAGGTTTCCATCCATGTTCATGGGCATATTAAACCTAAGACTGGGGCCAGCCAGTGGCTTAGTGGTTAAGGTGCTAGACTCCCACGTGGCTGACCACGGTTCAAGCCCCAGACCTTGCTTTCTCACTTTCCCTCTCTCTTTCTCTCTATGGTCAAATTAAAAAATAATAATAACAAATAGAATTATATAAAATAATTCTTAAAAAAAAAAAAAAAACCTAAGACTATTCTCTACTATCATACTGAAAGGTTTTTATTCTTTTTTTTTTTTTTTTTTTGAAGAGGTTTTTTTGCTACAGGGTGCATGTGCTTGCCAGATAGCCAGAGAAAGACAGAGAGACAGAAAATGAGAAATCACCCCCCAGGGGGGATGGTCACGCCACAATCCCTTCTCCTCCATTCTCCTCTCAGGATCTTGGGCATGCATGCACACGCGCGCGGTGTGAGTTTAAGCCACCGGGTCCGGGACTCGAACACAGTCGACTACGTGGGAGTCCAGCGACATAGCCATTATGCTAACTGCTGGTCCCAGGTTTTTTATTCTTAATGTTAAATCTGGGTTCCAGTTCTAGCTATGCTGCCAATAAGCTGCATGGTCACAGGCAAGTTGTTTAACCTCTCTGGCCTCAGTTTCCTCACTAGTAAAGCAGGACTAATAATACCTACTTGGAAGCATTGCTATGAAAATTAAAGAAAATAACATAGTACGACGATTAGCACACACAGTGCCTGGCATGTAGTAGCCTCCCCACACTGGCTTCAACTTGACAGAGACAACCAGGACAAAACAAATACAAAAATAAGTCACAGCAATCAAGAGAGACTGAGCACAGAGTGAGTCATTCCTTTTACTCATTTGCCTAGGAAGATCAACAATCAAGAAGCATAATAAGTAGAATAAACTCTACTGGCAGTATCTCCCTTTGCACACACGGCTTGGTGAGAATTCACCCCAGAGACCTCTCGGCTAATAGCCACATCCAGCTCCCCAGCCCAGCAGGTCAGATCTCAATCTGCGGGACGAGGCACGGTTAATTCAGACTGGAATAGAAACCACCTCGTATGGAATGTGTTTACAGGAGGGAGATGAAGGAGGAGGAAAACTTGACTGCAACCGCATCAATCAACTGTTTTGCAATCTGGCAGAAAACACTGCAGAAGGGTTGGTGGAGACTAACACCCACACAGCTGCGCTTACCTGTAGCCAAGCAGCAGCTTAGACCAGATAATGAGCAGTTTGCTGCTTTCAGCAAAACAATGGTCAAGCCTGCACGGAGTGAGCACCTCGAAGGTCGACTTACCCTTGCACACCTGGGCGGCACCAACTACACTGACACCAAGCAGCTTTACACACACACTCCTCGGCCGCTGAGCCCTGTGCACGAGCATCAGCTTCACTGCTCACGTGTCAAATACTCCTCGTCCGTAACATGCTTACCTCTGCAGCGCCACTGGTGGTTGGGTCGCCGAGATCCTTGGAGGGGCTCTCCGCGTGCTCTGTCACCACAGGTGTGGCTGTTTCTTTACTGGGACTGTCTCTCTTCTGAAGCTTCCTGATGAAGCTCTGCTGCTGGTCACTGGAGGCTACAGCAGGTCTGAGGGAAGCTCTGGGTGGGCTCTGCCCCCTCCAAGTCGCCCCGCTCCAATCGAGTCCCAGAAGACGTGACACATCCTCTTCGGGTGGAAGGCCCAAGTCCTCCACAGGTGGGAATGTTTTTAAAAACACCAACACGGAATTGGAAGAGTCTGTCCTAAAGGGGCGGCAGCGCTGGGGCCTGCTGCAGTCCACTTGGATGCACGTCCCTTCTAGCCACCAAAAGGCATGGCAGGCAGAGTCCTGGCAGCAGGCAGCCCAGCATGCCTGGAGAGAGGGAGTTCCTTCGAGATGCCGGAGGTGATTCTCCCCCGCAGATCGCAGGCCAACTCCAAAATGTGTCTTCCCCTGCTGGCACCTGCTCTCACTGGCATCTAGAAACGAAGAACGAAAACCGAGTAAGGTGAGGTGCAGACAGAGGCTACTGCTCAGTACAGTGCCCTGAACACCAACATCTGAGGTTATTTGGAAGACAGGCTTTTAAGAGGATGAGAAAGCTGTCTAGTGAGTGGAGCAGAGGAAGTGAGAGGGTTTTCTGGCTCAGGATATTTAGTTTGTAAAAATACTGCTCCATATTCATCGATGGTTCCCCTTCTCAATTAGTTCCTGCCACATGGACCTTTTACAAAGAATTCTAGTTCGTGAGATAGAAATAAACAAACAAAACACGAGCTATTTTGGTGGAAGTGTGTGTGTGTGGGGAGTTCAACACTTGACTTCCAAGCCATTTCCTAGGGAAAGTAAGAGGACTATGGGGCCAGAAAACGGGTGGCTAATGAGCAGGGTTGTTCCCACTGAACTGGCAGCAACACAAACCAAGAACCCTTGACCCCAGCAGGTTATGGTCACTCACTGGCTCACCCAGTCACAGTCAGGTGATTTCACAAATCCTGGTATTAGCCAGCGCAAGGGTCAAGACGACCAAAAAATGTTGACCACGACAGGGATTCTGGTAGAAGAAACCTCCTAATGACAAGCCATAGCATGACAAGATAGGAGACAGAAATAGAACTGTGATCAACTGCAGGTAAACTAGATACTGTGGCCCCAAATTCCGGCTTACGTTACCTAGGGATTAACTCTGGGCTGCCCGAGCAACTTCAGGCATGACGTTCATTTTCCTGACACATGACCTCATCTCCATTTGTCTTAGATGAAGTAAAGCCGAAACATGTTCTAAAAGAAAGTTATTATACAAGTTCACTTTAAGGTCTTAGCTGTGCAGCTGTCTGCAACAGCTATGGTCAGGGTTACACAGGGAGAGAGCCAGGGTAAGGCAAAAGAGGAGCCTTGGGCTCAAAGTCCGAGGAGGCGCTCTCGCTCAGTCACGGGAGCGCAGGGCTGGCTGACGTGACCCGAGAGCGGGCACCTCCTGAGACTGTGCTCTGGGTATCTCTCTTTCCTCACCCTGGCCCTGGCCTTGGGGTTGGAATATAAAACCTAGCTTAGAAGTCATAGAGAAATCATGCAACAGAGGCAGAGCACTGACGAGATGGTACTCGTGCCTGCGTGCATGCAGAATTGAGAAAGGGCTCTTACTGACTACAGCAATGCCTGGCAGGACCAGCCAAGCCAACCTGGGTGAGCTGATGCCCATGAAATACTCACTAAACATCCAACGGACTAAACGTGAACATAACCCACCGCGGGGTGGGGGGCGAGAATGGAGCGGGGAGAAGGTGGGGCAGGGAGGAAAGAGAAAGGCAGTTTCCCGATTCCAGAGTCAGGAGCACTGTGGAAGCCACCTGCCACTGTTCTTTAAGAGGGAGATACACTGGCACCAGCTTAACACCAGACAAGCAATTTAGAAGGCCAGAGAAAACAGAACTTCCTAAAGAAAAGATGAAGAAATAGCAACGATGAAAAAATAACAAAGCTACCAAGAGCTGCAGAAATACCCTTCATTTCTTTACCCACTCTCCCACACAGTCACCAATAATACGAATCTTGGTAACAGCTATCGGAGGAGAGTCCAGACCTTGTTGAAATCAACATCAAACTGTACGTCAGTAACTGCCATCGGTTAATACCTTCATGTCAACTTTTCCTGTTCTTCTCCAAACAGTTCATATTTAACACAGTGACGAGGTCAACACAGATGAAAATAACTTGCACTGAGCTGTAAGCCACTATTTACTTAATTTTTAAAAATGCACTGCTACTCCCACGCCTGCCTTTGAAGGAAGAGGTGCTACAGGACTTGCCCTCCCACCATGAGCAATTAGAAAAAGTCGACAAAATACATGAAACAACTGTTTTTAGACACTGGAGAACAGGACGTACTGTGAGCCCTGAGAGAAAGGAGCCCAATGACACCCTGGCTTTCCACTGGACACATGGTCCAGACTACGGCGCAACCAAGGAGAGTCTACACAGAGCACGGCAGTCTTGCCGAGTTGGGGAGACAGACTTCAGTGTGAGAGCTAGAGTTTTCTAACAAAGGCTATATAGAAAAGGAGCTCCAGAGGGGCTGGCAGGTGGTGTGGTGGTTAAGGTACTAGACTCCCACAAGGCAGATGGCAGTTCAAGTCTGGACCTGGCAGCTGGCTCTCTCTCCCTCTCCTCCCCCACCCCCGCTCTCTGGTCAAATTTAAATAAATAAATAAATAAATAAATAAATCTCCAGAAATGTGGATAATGGACCTCTTTAGTCTTTGGGGACTAAAATGTGCACAACTATAGGTTGAAACTGCATGAAGAAAATTAGAAAATATTTTTAACTGAGTGAGAATGAAAATATAAAAGTTTGGGGGGTGCAGTTAAAGCAATGTTTAAGGAACATTCATAGCTTCAAGTATTTATTTCAGAAAAGAAGAAAAGTCTAAAATCAATAATTTAGAGATACATAGGGGGAAATGCCATGGGATGACAGAGGCAGAGATTGGAATGATACTGCAGCAAGCCAAGGAATGTCAGCGATTGATAGTGACCACAAGCTAGAAAGAGGCTAAGAAGTATCCTACCCAGAGTCTCAGAAAGAACCAACCCTGCTAACACTTTGATTTTGAATTTCTAGCCTCCAGAACTTATAAAGGCTTATAAAGGATCCTCTGTCCTTGTCCAGGAGAACAGATCAGAAAACACATGGTTCCAAAACTACCAAAAGTCCAGATCCAAGGATCACCAGGATTTAGGACACGGCTGTGGCTCTACCCAGACTGAATGAAGACACCGGGATGCTACCCAATAGGCTGGCACTGGGTTGTAATACTGGAAACCTATGAGAATCTGATGTCTACAGGCTTCTCTCTTTCAAACCAAAACTAACTACCCAAGTGGAGAAAGGAGCAGGGCTCTAGAAGGAGGTGTGGCAGGTGGTGTGGTGGTTAAGGTACTAGACTCCCACAAGGCAGATGGCAGTTCAAGTCTGGACCTGGCAGCTGGCTCTCTCTCCCTCTCCCCCCCCACCCCCGCTCTCTGGTCAAATTTAAATAAATAAATAAATAAATAAATAAATAAATAAATAAATAAATAAATAAATCTCCAGAAATGTGGATAATGGACCTCTTTAGTCTTTGGGGACTAAAATGTGCACAACTATAGGTTGAAACTGCATGAAGAAAATTAGAAAATATTTTGAACTGAGTGAGAATGAAAATATAAAAGTTTGGGGGGTGCAGTTAAAGCAATGTTTAAGGAACATTCATAGCTTCAAGTATTTATTTCAGAAAAGAAGAAAAGTCTAAAATCAATAATTTAGAGATACATAGGGGGAAATGCCATGGGATGACAGAGGCAGAGATTGGAATGATACTGCAGCAAGCCAAGGAATGTCAGCGATTGATAGTGACCACAAGCTAGAAAGAGGCTAAGAAGTATCCTACCCAGAGTCTCAGAAAGAACCAACCCTGCTAACACTTTGATTTTGAATTTCTAGCCTCCAGAACTTATAAAGGCTTATAAAGGATCCTCTGTCCTTGTCCAGGAGAACAGATCAGAAAACACATGGTTCCAAAACTACCAAAAGTCCAGATCCAAGGATCACCAGGATTTAGGACACGGCTGTGGCTCTACCCAGACTGAATGAAGACACCGGGATGCTACCCAACAGGCTGGCACTGGGTTGTAATACTGGAAACCTATGAGAATCTGATGTCTACAGGCTTCTCTCTTTCAAACCAAAACTAACTACCCAAGTGGAGAAAGGAGCAGGGCTCTAGAAGGAGGTGTGACAAATTCCATCAGGTACTTGTAGTCCAGGAAAACTGGTTTGACACAAAGATATCAGCCCTAAGGTAAAATATTTCTGAGGAATCTGTTCTTGGAGCAAACAGAAAGTATCACGATAGATAGGAGCAACAGGTGGTGTGGTAGTTAAGGTGCTGGACACTCCCACATGGTCGACCGTGGTTTGAATCCCGAACCTAGTGGCTTGCTTTCTCACTGTTGCTCTCTCTCTCTCCCTCTCTGGTCAAATTAAAATAAATGAATGAATAAATAAAATTAAATGATTTAAAAAAAAAAAAAAAAAAAGGAGACAGTGTCATGATAGAAAAAGGCCTAGACTGGGAGAGGAGAAGTTCCATAGAGAAGCAGTACTAGGAAACCAGCAGTTAGCATAATGGCTATGTCGCTGGACTCCCACGTAGTCAACCGCAGTTCGCGTCCTGGACCCAGTGGCTTAAAACTCATGCCGGGTGCGTGTGCGTGCGTGCCCAAGATCCCAAGAGGAGAATGGAGGAGAAGGGATTACAGCGTGACCATCCCCCCTGGGGGGTTATTTCTCGCTTTCTGTCTCTATGTCTCTCTGTCAGTCTGGCAAGCGCACGCGCCCTATAGTGAAAAACCTCTCAAAGAAAAAAAAAAAAAAAAAAAAAAAAAAAGAAAAAGCAGCCCTATAGGGCCCAGCAGTTGGCGTAATGGCTATGTCGCTGGACTCCCATGTAGCTGACTGCAGTTCGAGTCCCAGACCCAGTGACTTAAACTCGGGCACGTGTGCGTGCATGTCCAAGATCCCGAGGAGAATGGAGGAGAACGGATTGTGGCGTGGCCATCCCGCCAAGGGGTGATTTTTTTGCTTTCTGTCTCTCTCTCTGTCTTTCTGGCAAGCGCACATGCCCTAGAACAAAAACCTCTCCGGAAAAAAAAAAAAGAAAGAAAGAAAGAAAAGCAGCACTATAAATGCAAGGAATGTAGGCAAGTCTTAAAATGTAATTGCTCCTTTATTAACCACCAGAGAAATGATACTGGTGAGAAAGTCCGTAAATGTGAAAAATGTGAGAAGGCCTTTATGAGTCAGCTATCTCACTATTGCTCCTGTTAAATCATCATAAAATTCACATTGGCAAGCAACTTTATAGATGTATGAAATATGGGAACTTCCTCAAGAAACACTGAACATTTATTAAACGTACGAGAATTCATTCCAGAGAGA